TTTATGCACTACAGTAATCTCTCAATTATCTCTTTTACTTCCTCCACCGAATGCTACACCATGGCTATATTCACTACTCTACCTCTGTCTCAACGGCGCCAGCGAGACCGCCTCCACGCTTTCTTCCTGAGATGAACGCCAATGGGACCTCAACACCATGCATCTCCTTTCATAGCTTTGCATGATGAACTCATTGCTGTCACCACCCGTCCATCCTAGTCCACCAACCTCTTTCTTCCCAGCGGCTTCGATATAGAGCCACCGTTAGAGTTGTTATAACAGCTCGAGGTTCACAAGCCACTCGAGCACGATTTATCTTAGACTTAATTCGACCTTGGTTCAAGAAACAAGCCAAGCTAACCCTATCCCAATCTAAAGCTCTCGAGCTTTGTTAAGTCAAGCTCAAACTTTTAACGAGCTTGACTGTATATGGATTTTATTGTTTATTTATTTTTTATAATTAAACTAATAAATAAAATATATATTAGTACGTATCTACACAATGAATTAACATGTGTTATCTCCTCTATTGTTAGTGTGATTTACTAGAAAATAGTTATTTTTATCTAAAAGTATCATTAAAATACATTAGGAGAATATTAAGGGTGGCCGATGGCGCGGACGCTAGACAATGCCACGTCAGATAGCTATAGTGCAAGGGGTGAAATTTTAGAAAAAAACCCTCCGGTTTGTGCGTAATTAGATCTAGTGCTATACTCCATACTACTCATAGTCAAGCTCAAGCTTGATCGAGCTCGAACTGAGCCTGCTTAAAAGCTCGAAGACGGAATAAGTTTGGCTTAAGCATGTGTCAAGCTCAAACGACATACGAGCTTGACTCGTTGACGCTCGACTCATTGACAGCCTTAGACAACATCGCCTTACCACTCGCCTGTATCCATCATCTTCACTGCCCCTTTCCACTATCTATAACCCCTCCTCCCATTCCAATCCTTGAGCCTCACATGTTCCCGGCCGGCCGCCAAGCATCGTCAGACAAGAGAAATTCGACTAGGGTGTGTTTAGTTCACGCTAAAATTGAAAGTTTGATTGAAATTGGAACGATGTGATGGAAAAGTTAGAAGTTTGTGTGTAGAAAAGTTTTGATGTGATGGAAAAGTTAAAAGTTTGAAGAAAAAGTTGTGAACTAAACCAGACCTAAAATCTGTGAAATTTTCCAGTGACCGAAAATCGAGCAATCCCTAATAAAAAAACAGTAGATATGCGAATTGTGTAGAGAGATAAATAATTGCTCTAGTACAGTCGCATGCATGCTTCTCCCCAGATGTGCAGCAAATCAGATGCCGGCGATAAAAAGTCCCCGCTTTCCACGACACGCACGCACAGGCAAAAGGAGGCAGAGCAGCTAGCGCCCGAATTTAACCACGCTGCGAGCTGAATCCAAAGTAATTACTCCACTGATTTACTACTGATCATGATGCTTCACAGGCCAGTTAATTAATTAAGCAGGCAAGAGCAGGAGATTGCAGCAGGGATCTTTACAGCTGAACATATTACTGGCAGCCAGGGCCCCACATGTCAGTGAGCGAAGTGGAGCGGTATAGGCTGAGCTGGTAGGAATAGTAAAAGAGATCCACGCTTCACGAGGCGATCTTTGCCGTACACATAGGCAGGTTGTTTTAACGCTGCCTAAGGCTAAACCCTATCTTGTTTTATCGTTAGGATTTGATCAGCTTGGGTTTATAAGTTAAGTTAATCAACCTAGGCCGTAGGGATCAGTAACCCATAACAGTAGGGTTGTCCCAGGCTTTTGTTTTGTTTTTTCGCTGTAGCAGTAGTAGGCGCATGCCATGGATGATGGATCCATTTGTTCGCACCCCAGCGAGGCTGACAGAGTGAGTGACAGTTGCTGAGCATGAACGGGAATGGCCCTCTCTGCTAAAACCGCCTCTGTGTGTGTCTGTGAGACTTTCTGTCTTTTGTAAGGTGAGAGTTGGGAAAGTGACAACGGCATTGTACAGCTCTCTGGGCATACGCGTGATCGTGCCCATCTCACCACCTGTACTCCTGCACAAGCTAGATCCTCTTCTTGGGGTCCTGAAATCTTGTTTCTCGTTAAAGCCAGGGAAGATATTGTGGACTCCCAGGTGATGAGCTGGTGATTTGGATAGGAGTACTACAGGAGTAGTAGTAGATTAGTACTAATACTATACTACTAGTAGTAAGATTTCTGCTTACTGATGGACAGCATATACTTTGCAACCCAACTAGGCAACTGGGCTTCTAGGGGAGTGGAGCTCCAATGGAAATTCAGGGTACACCATCTTTTAGAATAAGTTCACTCTAGGTCCCTCAATTTATCGCTCAGTCTAATTTCATCCTCGGTCCAGAAAACAAGATACAATACATCTCTCAACTTATAAAACAATGCAAACGAGGTCCCTCGGCAGTATTGATCCCGGTTTTGGCTGACGTGGCTTCTATGTAGTGTCTACGTGGCTCCTTTGACTAGATCTTCGTCCCACGTGGCATTGACGTGGCGCTTACGTGGAGTTTTGATTCAGAAAAAAAAGTAAAGAAGCAAAATAAAAAAAATAATACAAAATATGCGGGACCCACCAATCAGTCAAACAAAAAATAAAAAGTGGGACCCACATGTTAGTGGGTCCCACCTTTTCCACCACATACGGATGACAGACGGAGACTGGGAGAGGCAGGGAGGCCGGCCGCCGGCGCTCCTCTCGCCCGTCGGTGCGTGTCGCTCCTCTCGCCCGCCAGCCTCCACACGACGCTACTCTGGCCAGCCGGCCACCGCGCGCCGCTCCTTCCTCCCGCTGGCCACGACGTGCTCCTCTTCTCCTCCACTGCCACCTCTCTCTCCCGCCACCGCGCGCCGCTCCTCTCTCCCGCCGCCGTGCGCCACTCCTCTCGCTCTGGCCGCCACCACGACTCCTCTCCTGCAGCGACTCCTCGTCCGCGCGTCAGAAGGAGGGAAAAGAGAATGCGGCGGCGAGTCGCTGCCCGAGCTCATCAATGGAGGACGACGGATGTGGATTTGGGAAAACCCATCGCCGACGTCAGCGCCTGATTCCATCACCCGCTGCATGCGTCCATGGCTGCCGCCTCGACCGACGCGCGCCAGGCAGCAGCGGCAACGGCGACAACCCCTCGCCGGGATGAAGAGCTCCTTCGCGGACCCAGAGGATCACGATGAGGTGGGCCCAGGAATGAAGTCGCGCCGCGTCCACCCGCTGCCGCTGCCGCTATGACCACCGGAAGAGGTAAGAGGGTGAGGTCGGCCGTCGCCCGCCACGCTCAGCCGCTCCGCGCCCTCCACCGCCCGCCTCGCTCAGTCCCGCCACTCCACCCTTGTAGGGGAGAGTGAGGGTTGGATAGAGAGAAGAGAGGCCAATAGGTGGGACCACATGGGCCCCACCTTTTTTAATTATTTTTTTGTATAGCTGCCATATAGGTCCCACGATTTTTATTATTTTTCAGATAAAATTGTCATGTAAGCGCCACGTCAATGCTACGTGGGACGAAGACCTAGTCAAAGGATCCATGTAGGCGCCACGTCGCCCAAAACTACCTTCCATACCGCCAAGGGATCTCGTTTGCCCGGTTTTCATAAGTTGGGAGACAGGTCTTACCCGGTTTTGCCATCAAGACACGAAAATCAGACTGACCGACAAATAGAGGGACCTAAAGTGAACTTATTCCCCATCTTTTGTACTGAATGGGAAGGCCACAACATCTATAATTGGCTGAAGAGGGGTGCAAAGCATCAAAGTCCAATTTGACACCCTCCACAATCGGCCTAATCTGATTCCCACCCCTCGACTGCAAAACCGGGTACATAATCCCCTCCAACTAATAAAATCGGTGTAAAATAGTTCCCTCGACAGTATTGACAATGGTTTTGGCTAACATGTCACCTACTTGTCGCATTGAACTAGCCTTCATCTGATGTGACGTCTACATGGCATTACAATCATAAAAAACTAAAGAAAAATATTCATGGGACCCAGAAGTCAGTGATCACTTCTTCCTTGTCTATCCTCTCCTCCACCTCTCACCGTTGAACTGGAGAGATACGAAGCCTAGCCGTCTAAAAAGTATATGGGATTTTTATTTCGATAGTATTGATATCTAATTCGAAACTTTTATTAGGATGATAGCCATATTATGTACGTTGCTTTCTTATGACCAAGCAATAATTCTGAAGTAATTAACAGTTCGACTCTTATCCCAAGTTAGCATGCAAGTTTTTTTTTAAAAAAAAAGATTTCTTATACGACTCCTTATGTATTTCGAAAAGCGAGCGAACTTTTAAAAAAGGACTCAAATAAATATTCAATTTTTATAATAGCATGGCCTGGCAAGAATTCTGAAACAATTAGGAGTCTGACTTTCGTCCCAAGTTAGCATGCGAGTTTTTTAAAAGGATTTCTTATATGACTCCTTATATATTTCCAAAGCGAACAGACTTAAAAACCGACTCAAATATGAACGGCATGCCAAGGTATTGACGAAAACAACTTCAATTTTTATGATAGTAGAGATAAAAACTGTCACACAATCGCCATATTGGCATGGACGGACCAAGTCAATAAGCCACGTTGGTCAAAATCACTATCAAAATCACCAGGGGAGTCAAATTATGTTGGTTTTCAAAGTTACGAGAGCCTTTGTAACTGATGATGCAAATTAGATGTCGTCTAATAGACGAGGCAGTCAAAATGGACTTTTTCTAAGGTAGGGTCATCAGTCATGCGTAATGGGCCTCCACTCATAGGCCCAAGTCGATGCATTTCCCTACTTCGTCTTTTTGCAAATGTCTGGTTTCTTGTAGAAAATGTTACGCACGCATTATCGCAGCATATATATTCTGCAGAATAATCAACAATCGTTTGCAGAAAGTTGAAAAAGTTCAGGGATGCATGAACATGGCTGGTGTGTGCGTATTTGTTTAAAAAGAAGAAAAAAACTTTAATATGTTCCTTTTCTTTTCTGGGAAATTCTTTTAGCTTCTATATTTGCAGATCCAAAATAAATTTCCCTTTCTTTTTAAATGTGAACCATGGAATTGTATGACTATTTATTATGTTCTACATGGAAATACAAACCATTTATTATGTTCTACATGGAAATTCAACCATCTTATAATGGAAAATTCAAGCACATACAGCTGGCACAACACGATGGCATAAGGTGTCCCTGTTACAACGAGTATCCGTGCCTGAACAAACCATGCCGGCCGGGACCTTCTTCAGATTTCAAAGGCTTTCAAAGGGTCCTTTGGGTCGATATCATGGAAGAGAGGAAGATCTGGTTGAAGACTCCCTTGGCTGAAACCAATGCTTTCCAGTGTCTCCAGCACACAGTCAAACAAAATTTTGTTTCCCAATGGGGTGAAGTGCAGTCCATCACTGCATGATATAAAAGAAAGTTGTATAGCGATTGTCATCAGGAAAAAAAACATTCTAAGCAGTAAACTCTACAATTGTTTATTCACAGCTACATCACGGCATAACGCATTTCCTCAGCAAGAAATACATGTACACAGATATATACCCAAGTTCAAAACAAAATACTACTATGTTCTGGTCCACATAGCATGGAGTACCATTTTACTATATACAGATCAGAAGAGAAGATGAAAACTAAGCAAAACGCACTTCGTAAGTTTGTTCCAACAATTTTCACTACAGAGTACAGAATCTTTTGATCTAAGCACAATTCAGAAGCAAGAAAACTGAATGACTGTTATGGAGAGTGTCAGGTTCGTCTTGTTCAGTTAAATATCTTAACTATAGAGTCTTTAGACAGAGTGATAACAGGAAGGTGATTCCCTATCTTAGTAAGCAGCAAGAATCTTTAGGCAGAACAGTTTACCATGAATCTACATTTTTTATAGAACTTTTATACTCTCAATAGAAGTACAGAACCATTATGTTTGATCAGATTGTTTATGCAATCTGCAAAGTAGGCTACTGGTAGCATAAATGGAAGCCCTTAACAGTTATTAAGCCCATCCATACATCAAGTTTAGGTATAAGGTCACTTGAAATAGATCCATACCATAATGCAGATGTTTGCCAGTCAGGAAATTGCTGCATCTTTGTCCAGATGTCTATGACTGGATGGTTCAATTCTTTAGCAACTGTCAGGCATGCCTGTGCATAAGTGCCAGCAGCTTCATTGGTTCTTTCAGGTAGTTTTGAAGGGTCATCTTCTCCATACATGTCCCTGCAAGGAAAGACAGGGACAATAAGTACAGTTTGCAAATCCTCTTTACAAAAAAAAAGCACACTGTTTTATTTGTAACTTGAAAAAAGGATCTTCAGATCAAGCTAAGGGCCACCAAGTGGTGACTGGATATATACCCGATAAACCAAATATGAAATAATCCCATAATTTAGAATACACATACTTTTACATGAGAAATACAGACAACATGTTGGTCAAATCTGCTTATGGATACATGTTCATAAATCAAACATAAGCATACCCTGTACTGTGCTGGTGCATTATGAACTCGGTTTTAAATTCTTGAACAGAGTAATTTTTATCGGACTAATTTCCTGGTTGACTCCTTTGTTGTCGTTCTAAGACAATTAGCATGAATTAATGCCATGGATAAAATAAACAGAGGATGGCAAATACACCATCATGTCATTAACAGGCAAATGCAACAAGAATACCATATAGCAACATAAAACCGATTAAAACCATCTGCTGGTTATTCCTTCCATCCTTACCGGATTCTCGCCGGTTCATAGATTGGTGGAGGCGTGATGAGTATAATTTTAGTGGAGGGCCATTGCTCCTGCGAAAGATCCAAACCAAACCAGAGTTAAGCAACGACGAAGCAGAAGCATCAATCAGTTCAAGCCGGGGGAAAACCAATCAATTTCAATCCAAGCAGAACCTTGAAGTAGGCGCAGATGGAGCGGAGGTTGCTCTGGTACTCGTCGAGCGGCACGTGCTGGTGCACCTGCTTCCGTTCCGGCAGCGACGCGTCGTTGGCGCCGAAGAACACCGTGACGGCCGCCGGGTCCGCGGCGGCGGCCGCGCCCTCCATCGCCCTCGCCAGCACCCGCAGCGCCCACCGCGTGTTGTAGCCGCTGAACCCGCGCAGCACCACGTCGGCCTATCCAAAGAAACGGTGACGTACGCGTGTCGCGGGGATGGGACAGCGGCCGGATCGCGAGGAGGAGGGAAGGGTGGCGTACCTTGCGGGCGAAGTGGTCGGCGAGGGCGGCGCCCCAGCCGCCGTCGGCGAAGGAGAGCTCGGTGATGGAGTCGCCGAAGAGCACCAGCCGCGGCCTCATCTTTCCTCCTTGGATTCAGAATATCCGCCTGGGGCAGTCACTCGCTAGTGCTGTGCTAGAGGAGACTGAACAACTGCCTTGTCTTCAACTTCAAGATCCCATCTCGCTTCACTTCACTTCCGTGCAAGTTTTGATTTTATAGAAAACAGTGGCAGCAACTGACTTGTAAATTTGTCGTGCCTCCAAGGAGTCCAAGATGCCGTTGTCAGTGACGAGCGGTGAGCTGTTATACAGTGACAAGCATATTCCGGCGGCCGGCGGCGCAGTTTGGTGATTGGGATCGGTTTGAATCACACGGATGGGGATCAAGCAATCTCCAAATCCCCCCTCCGTCTTAAGAAAATCATTTCCCTGATGGACTCCTTCCATAAAAAAAATCCAAACCGACGAATCTAGGTAAGGTTTTATCTAGATTCATTGTTCCATAATATGCTAGACTAGATTGAGTTTTTTGGATGGAGAAAGTAGTCAGTAATTAGTTTTCCTATAATTGAGAGTGTTTTTTTTGTTAGTACTAGTTTCTTCTAGTTTTTTTTAGGTTCCTTGGATTTTAAGTTAAGTATTCAACCATAAATTCATATTAGAATAAATTCGTAAAATCTATCCACTCCGGTCATAAACATTGGACGCTTCGGAATAGATTCTATCAAATTTTGGCCATCAATAATTTTTTTAAACACTTAACTTCATAACATAAAATTGATATTTGTAGATTTCTCCTGTAAAATATTTTCACGATATCTTAGACTTCTTATTTATGACCTTATTCTAATAAAATATTTGATCAATGTTACACGTCGAAAAGAACAAGTAGTCGGAGAACATAAGTTTATGTCCTAAGGAAGTAACAAGTTTCTGAGAATACGAAAGTGTCCACTTCTCAAGACAAGGTCATGTGTATCATTTTCATCTTTCTAATGATTTCAAATGTCATTGATAGTGAAAGTATTTCTAGGTTATGAAGCCATATAGATACACCTCAAGAGGTGGCGAGTTTGATAATTTCAGTTCAAATTGCAATGATTTAAAATAGAAAAACAACTCCTTTTGTTCTATTAATTGAACTATTATATGATTTGAAAATGTTATTTCTTAATTTTTAAAATAAAAAATACTGTTCCCATTTCAAAATATTTCTTACCCGTGTTTTACCCTATCGAATCATGTGTATTTTACAAAATTCTTCTATTAATTGCCAAAAACCAAGGATATTTTTTTGTAACTATAGACTTGAGTAAGGATATTTGTCATGTCCCTTAATCCCTTCATACTGTGGTGACAAAATTAAATAACGATTGGTCATAAGCAAAACACAATATAGGACATTAATTCTGCAATACTAGTACATAATACATAACCCACGAAAGCACTATTTTACGATGGTGATAAAATTGCAGATGCATGACATATATATCTACCATTCTACCGAGACTTGAATTCTAATGCCAACAAATATTACACTTTTTTTAATGGGAACTCAGTGAACTTAGTATATTGACTTTTCTTTTTATCTCTTTAAATGTTTGTTAAGAGGGCATTTACATATGTGAATGCGTCACTTTTTTTTAAGAACAAATGTGTTACATACATTGCAGTGGTGTGTGTACGTGTGTCTTTTCGTGGAATAAAAAAAATTAAAACCTAAAACGACAGTGGTTATTACATTTAAAACAACCATACATCAATTCAACATGTCACACAATTTCGCTTATACTTATTCTAAATTGAGCGGATATTAGCAATTAAAAATCAATTGATGGGTAAATTTTTATATACTTGTTTGTAGTGATTTAAAAATAAATACTAGAAAATAAACTAAGATGAATACCCCAAATCAACTTTTTTTTTCCAAATTCAAATTTTTAAATGTTTTGAAACCCAAAACTCAATTTCAGGGGACTTTTTAAAAATTCAGAATTTCACCTATGCTTATAAACTAAAGGTTTAAACTATGGGTAAAAAAATGTAATACCATTATAATTTTACAAAGTTTGATATATGCCATCGGTATCTCAATGACATGTGGGTCAGGATGGCATATCTTAAATTTTGTAAAATTATAATGGCATGGTTCCAATTTTCCCTTACTATTGAGTGTTGACCTTGCATTTCAACAATTGGCAAGTAACTCCCACTCCAAAGTACTCCTAGAAAAGCACATTGTCTTCCCCGGTCCACCCCTGACCCAAACTGCTCAAAGCTCCAAGAACGCAGTGCAAACCGAAACAGTAGATGAACAGAAGTTTTTACCATCAATGGAAAGAGCACAGGGAAAAAGGATGGTAAAGAAGACGTTTCAGACAAGGAAAAGGCAAAAAAAAAAAAAAAACGAACAGTAGCAGCTGCCTGCCCTGCCCCACCACCTCCCACCCCCCCCCCCCACCGAACCCCTTCCCATCTCGCCTCCCCCTCCCCCGAAATCCCCAAATCGCCGCCTCCCCCCGATCCGCCGCCGCCTCTCCCGATTCGCCGCCGCCGTTGACCCGCCACCTATGGCCTCAGGGCCGCCGTCGTCGCCCTCCAGCAAGGCGTTCTCCCGCAAATCCCACGCCCACGCCTCCGGCCCCAACTCCTCCAAGGCGGCGGCGGCGGGCGGTGGCGGCGGGGGTGTCGCGGCGGCCTTCGATGCTCACAACGGGACGCACGTCCGCACCGTCACCTTCTCGCTGTCGTCCTCGCCGGCCGCCCGCAGGGAGCTCCGCCGCCGGCTCACCGCCGAGCTCGCGCAGGTGCGCGCCACTTGCAAGCGCCTCAGCTCCCTCCCGGCCCCCGCGCCTTCCTCCGCGCTCTCCGCCACCGACCCTTCCACCCCGCTGCCCCCGCACCCGCCGGTCTCCAAGCACAAGTCGAAGAAGGGGAACCCCTCCTCCAACCCGGGCCTCTCCGCGGAGGCGCGGCGGAAGCTCTACGCGCCCGTGTTCAAGAGCTGCGGCGCGCTGCTCGCTAGGCTGATGAAGCACAAGCACAGCTGGGTGTTCAACACGCCCGTCGACGCCAGCGCGCTTGGCCTCCACGACTACCACACCATCATCACCAAGCCCATGGACCTCGGCACTGTCAAATCGCGGCTGGCCGCTGGGCACTACAAGTCGCCGCGGGAGTTCGCCGGTGACGTGCGCCTTACCTTTCAGAATGCCATGAGGTACAACCCCAAAGGGCAGGATGTGCACTTCATGGCGGAGCAGCTGTTGAACATGTTTGAGGAGAAGTGGCCAGAAATTGAGGCCGAGGTAGCACAGCTGTCACCACAGCCGCCAACGCCATCATCGGCTGCACCCAGGAAGCCGAAGGAGATAGATAATTCTAAGGTGTTAGAGAGGTCGGACTCAACAGTACATGCTGCGGGGATGGAGGCCACTCCAAAGCAGAACACTGGTCGGCCCCCAGTTTTAAAGAAGCCCAAGGCAAGGGAGCCTAATAAGAGGGAGATGACCTTCTGGGAGAAGCAGCGGCTTAGTAATAATCTCCAGGAGTTGCCACCAGAGAAACTTGACAATGTTGTGCAGATTATAAAGAAGAGAAACTTGTCACTCAGCCAGCATGATGATGAGATTGAGGTTGATATAGATAGCTTTGATGTTGAGACATTATGGGAGCTCGATAGGTTTGTTACAAACTACAAAAAAAGTATAAGCAAGAACAAGCGGAAGGCTGAGAATCCCGTGGCAGGGCAGGATGAGATGAATCATGATATAGAGCTAGAGAAGACAGAGCATGCAAGGTTGGATGAAGTAGAGCAGGATCAGATGCCTCCAGTACAAGAGACGGTATGCTTCTTAGGGATGATGTAATTGTTGTGAATTAATTATACTGTGATATTAACAATATGGTACTTATTATTTCCCTGCAGTTACATAATCCTGAGCCAGAATCAATTGATATCGAACCACCTAAAGAAAACACAGCAGGTAGGCGACTGTGTTTTTGGAGCATGTTTTATAATTGTTATTATTAATCTAAATGTAAAATTGTGTTTGTGACCTAGCTCTATTACCAGTTTAAGGATAACAGCTAAGTTTGTTCAATTACAGATGATAATGAGAGGTATGTAGGCTCATCATCACCTGTTCATTTGGAAGATCAGAAGGGGGAGAATGCGGGTAGATCAAGTAGTTCTGGAAGTTCTAGTAGCGATTCAGGCTCTTCGTCTAGTGGTAAATGCTCTCATCCTTTGCAGAAATTTATATTAGCAGCATTTCTGTTTGCAATTAACTCTATAAAGGATATTTTCATATACATCTGCATAACATATGAAATTTACCGTGAGAAGCATATGCAGATACAGACACAGATAGTTCATCAGCAGATGGCTCTGATGCTGCACAGTCACCCAGAACGTAACATCTATAGGCCAGGTATGTTTAGTTAGTGGGCAATCATTCTCTTGCATTTTTTTTCCAAATTCAAGTTATTCAATTGGTATATTCTTCAAGTCTTAGGAGAGCATATACATATTCAAGCTGCAAAAAAGAAAACAAAGGATTGATATTGAGAACATATAGCCCATGCAACTTAATTACTTCTGTAAAAGCTTTCATGTCACTAGGGGATGGCTTTGGTACGGTTTATTTGGTTTTTTAAGATCAGTTTTGCAACATTGGCACCTGAAATTAATGTAAGAGAAAATAAAATAAAAACTGCACAGAGAATACCGAAGCAATTTGGTTCCTGTTTTTAATGGATCACACATTTTCATTTCAATAATTTATCAATTTTTGATAATGCATGTATGCAACAAGAAGAATGCAAGACAAAAAAAAAGGCATTGATTGTGCAAAAAACACCAACTAAGCAACTAATATGTGGATCGGGAGTCAAATCAAGCAAACAAGCAAAGCAATTAACAGTAATTAATAGCCGAATCGAAGATCAAATGTCAACCAAGCAACACAATCAAGAACACAAATAGTACTGTGGGCCTGTTGGAGCCATGTAGTATCTGTGTTATGGGCTTTCTTTCCGCCGCTTGTTGAGTCCCCAGTTGGTGGAGCAGAAGCATACTGTTGCACTGGGGGTTGGAGGCTGGAATTGCTAGGGTTTTGGCAATGGCAATCAGGGCCAATTGGGCCTGGGCACCTGGCCGACGCGCTGAGTTAGCCTTGGCCTTTGCAGTTGGGCTGAGATGAGATGGGTGGAGGTGCTGAAAGTACATAATACTGAGGTGGCCTTGAGTTTGTTTTATGCGGTTTCTGTGGTTTCCAGGATCAAAAACCATGCTGAAAACTGAATAACAAAAAATAATCAAACTAGAAACTGGAAACAAAAGTAAGAACAACTGACAGTTTGGTGCGGTTTGGTTCAGTCTGTTTTATTTTTTCCCAGCCTGTATGTACAACTCACAAGCATCTTAATTCTTACTTCATGCACAAAGGACTGTAATTTACTGATTAATGAGCAGCTACATGTGCAAACTAAATAGTTCTATTGTGTTATTGTATTTTACAACTCTTAGCTAGCAGTATTGTAAGCTACTCCCTCCGTCCCAAAATATAGCTACCTTTAGCATTCAAATTCGTCCCAAAATATATCTATCTTTAGAGATTTTAGTGCTATAATGCCCAAAATACCCCTGTCTCCTCCTTGGGCCCCACATAGGACCACATCACCTTCCTGGGCTGCATCCTCCCACCGGATTTGTGTCTCCTGGGATGGAGGGGGTAATATGATATCCTATTTGTGTTCTACCTTTGCTTTTGTACAAAGCTTTAGTGTTGTAACTTTTAAAGCATCTACCTGACAATCTTATGAAGGATAGTTTTTTTTTTTTTGAAACATTACAAAAGATAGTACTTGTGCTAATAAATTAGCAGCTAACACGTTCAAGCCAGAATAGATCTACTGTATCATATTTTACTACTCAGCTACTAATATTATAAATTGATAACCTCAATCCTTCGGATAAGTATAAGAACAAATCAGCAAAGTTTGATGATCTGATGTCCATGGATAGTTGTGTGATTGGGTCTTGGATGTTCTGTGTGACATGCTAGTAGGAATGCAAATGTGATTTTGTGCTGTTGTTTGCACACAGTTATAATGTAAGCTAGACCTTCTTCTTGGAGATTTGACCGTGACCCCATCAAACAGTGTCCAACTTAAAGGCTGTTAGAAGATATGATCACAAGTTAACCATTACCTATCATTCTGTCAATCTACTGGACATGGATAGCTGTTGGCTGAGTAGTGTCTGATGGAGTTGCCATGCAATGAGGCAGATGATTTAAAGTTGCGGAAGCTTCTAGCACTGTGATCCTAGAATTATCCGTGATAATAATTTCCCAGTATATGGTACTCACTGGTAAAAAAAAATAAAATAAAAGCTTGTATAGAAATAGAAGCATTCCATAAATAATTTTGGAAAAGGTTGACAAGCTTTCATATAATTTGCATAATGCAGGTGTTTATGTTGGTTTTATTCCAATTTCCAAAAGTTGGAGATTCTGGTAGACATCTTCCCAGATTATCATTCCTCCTTTCTTTTGTTACATATAGTCTGGGATTGTGGATATTGCTCTATTAGCTGTGAGCTGATACTCCTGTCTTGCATAATGCGTCTCATGTAGCATTGTGCCAACCAAATTGATGATCTTTAAATACACCAGCGATGTGTTTTTGCATTGCAAAAATGCAATGGAATTACAGAAACTGTTTTTCTTTGAACTGAATATATATTAAACAAATTTAAACCATGATTTTCTGAGATTACCTCTCAGTCTCTCGCATCTGTTTTATAGCGTGAGAACTTGTTCTAATTACCAAGGGATCATTCGCTATATGTTTCCACGTACCAAGTATGGCTTGATTTGTTCAATATCCCTGGTGACTAAACTTCCAGGCCTCAAGAAATGTCGTCATGTGCTGAGAGGAACTGAATGCCTCAATCAGCAACCCTTCAAGCTGTTGGCCTATGCTATCCCAGTGTCTCGGTTGTGCTGATGTATGTACATTCAAATTGCCTGGGAAACCTCATTAATGGGGGTATATTTCCAGTCTTAAAGTCCTCTGTATCCAATCTAAAGTTTTTACATCTGGTAAAACAAAAAGTTATCATTCGGACATCTACCTGTATTCCAATAGTAACCCTTCAAGAAAAAACAAATAGCTCACAACTCTATGCTCTCTTATGCCCTTCTCCTTTATGGACATTCTCCCTTAAAAAAAAGAGGAAAATAACTATGTTTAGTGTGCTGAGGTGCAGGACGGGGAATCAAGGATTTATTGAGAGATAAGTTATGGGGCAACTCTTTGCAATGTCAGATAAGTTTGTAAGCCTAGAGTAGTAATCTTTATGTTATACGCACGATTCATTATGTAGTTAGGGATGAAAGGGTAGTTGAGGGTAATATGATGGGGCTAGTATTACTCTAAATCCCTTGTGTTGTGGGACAGAATTTGGATCCCATATATTATGGGATGGAGGAAAGTAACAACTATATCAGTACTCCAAACATACTGGGTTCTGACCGGGAACCAAACAACCTTTACTGTGCCGCAAAACTGAAAATATGCTGTATTACGTGAATTTCTTGTCCCAGTTTGGAATATAGGATATTTTTCCATGACATAGGAAAAATGGAATTGAACTGTTTTTGTATGAAGCGATTTGAAATTCATGCCCTCTAAATGTGTCATTTGTACTTGATGAGACACCGTTGGGAATTGAATGTGTCCATGGATTTATTCCACTAGGAACATGCTTGGCGATTGGCATCTCTACTATATATTCCAGTCATTAAAGAAAAAAAAAATCTGACCACAGCATATGAAATTTTTGTAATGCATTTATTAATGAAAAAGGGTAGGACATTAATTGGCGGTGTGATATTAGTTGCTTCTGAAATGTATTTAGCTTTGAGTAGCAATCTAGCAGATGAATTGCTAGCACAGTCTTCACAAGATTGGCGGTATGATATTAGTTGCGAGCAAATGAATTGCTATCATGGTCTTCACGGGACATGAAAACAGAAGGTTGAATATGACTAAATATCTTGTAGAGTCAAAAAGATGAATCTTACTCATGATTTTATTTTAGAACTAGAACTTCCTGGAAAAAATATGTTTATTGAAGGAGTTAGCCAATTCGATAATATGGTTAATACATCTACTTTCTTATCTGCAGATCTTGATGTCAAGCTGGAAAGTTCACCGACAATTCTGGCATGATATCGTCAGCGAGATTCAATGCTGTCTTGTAAATTTTGGCTATGTAGGAAGTCTAACCAAACCAATGCTTTTGTGTCCATCTCGCTGTCTGTTTTAGACTCATAGTGGGTGCCATAAAATGCACATGCATTTCATGCGTCTGTACCATTGTTTGCAGTTATGTACTTATTGTAGAGTGCTGCGTTTACCCTAATCATTGAGCTGGAAATTATCTAACATTGGATAGAAGAAACCTGCACATTGGGGGAAGCAAGACAACCGGTGAAGACCAGACCAGGAACCTGGAGGCCCCACCCTATTGTAATATTGTAAAATTGCTATAGTAGTTGGGTAATTTCAGCTGTGTTGGATTACCACGGATAAAATGATCTTGCTCTGCTTGTTGTAAGATTTCTGCACAGTCACGTTTGCTCTGGAACTTTGTCTTAATGATGATAGATAGCCCCTGTCCTTTCCGTTTGATTTTAGAGTTGATTTTTTATGTTTTTTCATTGTAGTTTATTTCTAGCATTAGTTTTCATTTCATTAAGAACATATATATAAAAGTTTTAGCATTGATTTTAGATGAAGTACTTTTTTTTCCTAATAAACGTTGAGTGTTATAATCAGCTGTAAACGATGGAACTGCTCTCTCCATGGATGATGGATATACTCTACAGCTGGCCTTCAGGTTCCAGATTGTCACCAAAATGAATAACAGAAATTTGCCTAATCTCATTCGAAACTGTTCAAATTTCAATTTGTTATATATCGTAACGTGCTTGAAACTTTTAAAGCACAGCAATGACGACCACACAAAGTACGAAGTAGTACAAACAAATCTGCCGTCCTGGACGATGCCATTGACGGCGGATTGACCGTTATCGCAGGTCTCAGCCATAAACCTCCCCACCTCACGCGTCTGCCACTCCGGCGAGATATGCTCCCGCTCCGGCGGCTGCCGCCGCTCTCGTTCCCACTCCCGCGTGGCCCCACGCCGCGCCGTCTCTTCGCCACCGCGGCTTCCGCCTCCACCGCCGCCTCGCCGCTCCCATGGCCAGGGCTCCACGCCTGGCGCCGTGCCCCGCCCAGCGACCTCCGCACGTGGGGCCCGCACGGGCCCTGCGCCTCCCCGGACGCCGCCGACGAGTCCGGCTCGGAGGAAGCCAGCGCCGGCTCGTCGCTGGCCGAGATGGGCGCGCTCGTGCTGTCCACTGCCGACCCCCTCTCCAAGGCGCGGCTCACGCACGCCGCCTTCTCCCGGTTGGTCGCCGGGCTCCCCGTCGGCATGGCCGAAGCCCCTGACCACCCCGCCAGGCCTGACAAGCCCATCGTGGTAGATATGCTTTTCTCCCCAACCTCCTCGTTTACCTTACTCTCGCTTAGTTCGTTGAGGCATTTCATCGAGCGGGTTCAGGGCCGCTCTCCTGTTGCTGATGCTCTTGTTTGCCGTAGGTGACACAGAAGGAGATCACCACGCACAAGCAGATGGGGGTGCCTCTCAACGCGTACATGCTCCACATGTTGGCGCACGTCGAGCTCAATGCGATCGACCTTGCCTGGGACACGGTCGTGCGATTCTCGCCGCTCCGGGACACGCTGGGAGATGGCTTCTTCGTGGATTTTGCGCGTGTGGCTGATGACGAAAGCCGGCATTTTCGATGGTATTCTCAGCGTCTTGCTGAGCTTGGGTTCAGGTGAGCAGCACAGCTAATGTGGCGTGGATTACTTATTCAGTTAATCGTATGAATATTTCTATTTACTTGAAGAAATTTATTTAGATAAAACACAACATATTGTTGTCAATTATAATTGTTATTTTTTCCTTTGGTACAGCTATGGTGATATGCCTGTTCACAATCTTCTGTGGAGGGAGTGTGCGAAATCCTCAAATGACGTTTCTGCACGATTGGCAGTGATACCGCTAGTTCAGGTTCCAGATCATTATCTATTTCTTCTGTAAAATACCTATTTCATTTCGAGATAGTAGGCTTCAGGTAGGGTACTTGCTGAAGAGCTTTGCCTTGTTGCAATTGATGAAATTGTTGATTATTAGAACTTTAATAGGAAGCTCGAGGCCTCGATGCTGGACCAAGGCTTGTCCAAAAGTTACTTGGTTTCGGGGATCATAGATCTGCAGATATCGTGACTAAAGTAGCACAGGAAGAGCTTGCACATGTTTCTGTAGGTCTGCATTGGTTCCTAAAAGTATGCCAAATGATGGGTCGTGTCCCAGATGCAACTTTTAGAGGTTAGTTTGTCTCCTTATGACCCATTAAATTCAATTATGAAAATGTTGGTTCATGGAATCTTTAACATTGCAGACTTAATAAAGGAGCATGATGTGGTGCTGAAGGGTCCATTTAACTACCCAGCTCGTGATGAAGCTGGTATACCCCGAGAATGGTAAAGTTGTAATGCAGCTGTGATATTGACTTATTGAGGCCTGATTTTCTATTTCAGTGTCTGGTTTGTAATAGATTAACTACATGAATCCGTACAAATTCTAGTAAGATATTACTTGAATGACTTAAACTAGTCTCTGCATTCAGAAGTCGAGAAAACGTAAATGCTTTCTAATGACATTACAATGACAAATGAAGAATACTTTGTAGCTACATGACTACTAGTCTAAGAATATTTTGATGCTACATGAATAAGATGTTACTTTTTTATGTTATGCAGGTATCAAGAGAAGTTCAAACATGAAACGCCAAGTAAACTTTCGGAGGTGAGAGACTAATTTTATGCTTATCGCATACTAATGTTTTCGATGGACCTCTTACCGCGTACCTGTCACAGGTGCATGATAGATTAGCTTGTATAGTTGAGATGGAAAAGGAGAATTCAAGCTTGAATGGCTAGATCTCACCTGAAGAAAAAAGAGAATTGGAGGTACTTTACTAACAATTTAGTAACTGAATCTCCTTTCATTGGTTTATTTTTCACAGCAACAATCACAATTGCCTACACCTAGTCATTCCTGCAACTATACATAGTTAATTCGGCAACCTCTTGTTTATTTTTTGCACGTCAGTTTTTTTTTCTATTATACAATTTGTAGAAAGAAAACAAATGTTCAACATGAGTGCCAACATAACTCCTGTTAACAACATAATCCCAAACAACTTATTCTAAGTGTAAACTGTATATGCCAAATCCCAATCAAATTCTTGTTGACAGTTGGGTCCCACTTGCCGGCTGCCCACATGCCACGACACAGCAAGTCTATTAGGCAGCCTTGCATTGGGCCATATTCATAACCTCATAAAAATCCTTGAAAATTCCAAGGTCTAAAATGTACCGAATGCTTCTTTGTTACTACCATAGTACCCAAATTTGGAGGGCAAAAAGGACTTGCGATGTGCTACAAACCAACTTCAAAGTAGTAGTACGTTTTCTTCTAAAGAAATACCCGAAACTGAAGTTGTCGTCAGCATTGGCCAATTATGGTTTGTTCGGCTCGTGTTAAATTTGTTCATTTAAATCCGAAGTATTGCATAACGCATCTGATTCCCTTTGTTATATTAAAGTATAAACGTGTTTCTGCTGTCAGGATGACTTCATGGGATGATAAAACCAGGTTGCATTAAAAATTTATCAGCGGAGGCTTGCAAATATTTTTGTTGCTGAACATCAGTTTCCGTTCTGAGTTCATATCGTTGATCAATAACATCGTTAACACCTATTTCTTGAATATCAGCTTTGCCAAATTGCTGCACGATAAGTGAAGCGCCAACCATTGGGACAACCAAAACAGTACTCCAGCCAACATGAATCAGCTCGAGCGTTGAGGCTTTGCCGCTGGGAGGCGGGAAAGTTTCTCCGAGGGAGATGCTAAGAGCGTCAAGTAAAAAACGGTGCCAACCTGCAAAAGTATATTGAATCATCAAGACTAATATGTAATGGGGTACCAAACATTTCAGCCTATGTAATGCACCTGCCAACGACAACGAGCGTCACTATCGGCCGTGACGGCTGGTTTTTACTTCCAGGAGGAGTAATCGTGCCCAGATGTCCGATCCTGTATCGTCCAGAATGCTTCTTCCATCCTAATCACCGCATTCCAGTACTATCCATAATCCAAAACCTCTCTCCTGCTCCGATTGCGTATTATCAAAAACGGAAGAGATCAATCAGAGTTTGGATTCAGGTAGTACTCCTTCCATCTCAATATAAATATAACCTAATGTAGATATAACATTTATATTGAGACGGAAAGAGCAGTTGCTAACCAGTGTACGTTTGCTCGGCAAATTCAAGAGTCTCATCTTTTCGCTTATGTTTATATTTATCAGCTAAAATTTAAATTTTTAATTTTAAATTTAGAGCTGATTTTAAGGTTATTTTATCAAAGTTTTTTAGCCTTTGCTTTTATATCGCTAAGAATACATATATAAAAGTTTTATTCATAAATTACTTTTTATTTATAAATATACCATTTCGTTTGTTCTGCGAATAAGCAAAACAATGAGTGCGCAAATACGCGACGAACACTGAGTACGTGTGGGGGGGGGGGGGGGGGGGCCGGTGGCTCAACCGATCCTTCGCCTCCCCATTCCAACTCGTTCGGTGCGGGGCCAGCCTAACGCCACCGCGCCGCCACGCGTCCGCGCAGATATACATATACGGCCGTTGCACCGGTCAAACACTGGCGGCGTCGCACGGCAACTCCCACGACCGCCCGTTTGGCCCTAGCAACGGCTCGGATCTGCCCCTGGCGGATTATCTCAACCCCGGCCCCAAGTCTCCAACAACCGTTCTACACTTGGCGGCGGCAGAAGGGTGGGTCTGACGAGACGAGAGGCGTCGACTTCTCTCTCTCTGCCGGAAAGCGACTCCGCGAGACGCCGAGACAGCGTGGTGGTTTTCGTCGTCGTCGTCGTCGTCGGCTTCATATATCCCCTGGGATTCCGCTTCGGTTTCCACGCGCCAAAGCAAACGGGCAAAGGGAATTGAAGTAGCAGCAGCAGTGAATTGAAGTAAGAAGACAACGGGATGTGCTGCTGCGGTGGCGACTGCCGGCCGATCGGGTGGCTGCTCGGCCTCCCCTTCGCGCTCCTCGCCGTCGTCGTCTCCTTCATTGGCGCCATCATCTGGATCGTCGGGTACGTACAACTCCCCGTCTCTCTCTCTCTCTCCCGTTTCGAGATTAATCCTGGATTGGATCGGTCGAGATGAGATGAGATGAATTCATTATTAACCCAATGTACGTGTGGTGCAGGCTGCCGATCTCGTGCATCTGCCCGTGCTGCCTGTGCGTGACCGTGCTGCTGGAGGTGGCGGTGGAGCTCGTCAAGGCGCCGCTCCATGTCATGACCTGGTTCACCTCCAAGATACCCTGCTGATCTGATCTCAGATCATCATCAGATCTTGCTGCTGCTACATATATACACTACTATCTCCGTTTGGTTGATTTAGTGTCGTGACAGAATTCCAGTTGGTAGGAAAATGTTTTTGTGCATGATTCCTTATGGATAGATCGATTATCTCTACTCGTTGGTTGGTTCTGAATTTGTGGAGAGATTGTCAGCGATTAATTGCATGCCCATGCCCATAGACATTGAAGAGTTGTTGCTTCGTCTGTTTCGGTGTCTGTTTCGCTGTGTGTGTGACATGATGATTTCTGGATTAGTGCTTGTGGAATGCCGAGATGTTGATGTTGATTGGGACAACTTAATTGGATCATCCTGGTTGGCAGTTGCCTACAACATTCGGTGCAGACGTCGGAAGTTGTCGCTTCCGTGTTATAAGTTGCTTTGAATTTTTTTCAGTTACAATTAAAGTTTTTTTTTTTAAAAATATAGCCACACTTTCAATACAAAACAAAATATAATCAAAATATATTCAACGTTGCATTTAATAAAACTAATTTGGTGTTAGAGATTGTGCTAAATATTTCTATCAAACTTGAAGAAGTTTGATTAGGAAAAAGAATAAAAAATAACTTATGATACGAAACGGAGGGAGTACTTCGGAAGAATTTGATCTGATCTTTCCAGTTGCTCTGTTGCATTCAAATTTGTGTTTCAGAGTTCCAATGTAATAGACTCAACAGATATAGCCAACATGGGCCAAATTTATGATATCACACATGGGCTCATGATGGGCTTAACCGGGTCCAATGTGGTGATTTTTCTCCCAAGATGGGCTTTAGGCATGAATTGGGCTCGATGGCTGGATGGAGCGATCGATCTGGCCTCTGGCCTCTGGGAGAGAATGCCCTGTTTTTAGGGGGAATAAGTTCATTTTAGGTCCCTCAATTTTGACGTGGTGCCTACATGGCTTCTTTGACTAGGTCTTCATCTTATGTGGCATTGATGTAACGTGTACGTGGCAATTGATCCATAAAAATAATAAAACCCATAGAACCCACATGTCAGCTACACACAAGTAATAAAAATGGTGGGGCCCATGTAGCCCCACATGTCAGCCTCACTAGTCTATTCTTCTCTCTCCCTTGGAGCGGGCGACGGGCGGGGCGTAGCGGCCGGCGTAGCCAAACAGCGAGCAGCGACTGGAGCAGACCGGTGGGGCTAGGGATGGGCATTCGGTCTAACCGAAAAATTCGGTTCGGTTCTTCGGTTTTTTTGAAAATTCGGTCTTTAGGATCATAAGACCGATCGGTCTTCGAGAAAACTTAAGACCGAGTACTTCGGTCTTCGGTTAATTTGGTTCGGTCTCGGTCGTAGACCGAACTCAGCACAAAAAAATTTAAGTACTCTTACAAGATTGATGAAAAAGCAAATCGGATGAAGGACTAAAATATGATGATGCAACAAGCAGCAAGTAGAGCATATTCATGGAAAAAAAATCAAATCAAGCAAATCAAATCCAGCCAGAAGGTCGAGATCCATCCATCTCTTCCTCGTCGCTACTCCCGCTGGCTACATCTCCCATCAGTCTCCTCCGTCATCGAGGCCATCAGGTCGCTTGGGAGGGCAGAGAGGTGAGTAGGAGAGGGAAGGCGAAGTGGTTCTGTGATTGGGGGCGGACGCCGCAAAGAAATTGGCGAAAGAGCGGAAGTGGGGAGCGGGCGCTGCGCCGTGGGGGAGAGGGCGGCGACACGGCGTGAGGAGGAGAAGGCAGCGGCGGCGCCGCGTGCGCGAGATGGCGGAGAGGCGTGGTGCGAGGAGCGGAGGAGGAGAAAGCGGAGACACATGCGAGCGCTAGGAAAGTGCGGCGCATGTGGGGAGGATCGGTGGAGTGGGAAGGAGAGGAGGGGACGGGGTATGGAAAGTTAGGGTTTTCTTTAATGGGCTATTAGGCTGTATTGGGCTTTTACATTAATTCGGTCAGTTCGGTTATTTTGGTTAACTGAAGGAGATGACCGAAAAGACCGTGTAAAATTCGGTTAGTTGCAACTGAGGACCGAATTTGTGACCGAAATTTTCGGTCTCGGTTAGTTCGGTTCGGTTTTTTTCTGCCCACCCCTAGGTGGGGCGAAGCATGTGGGGTGGAGCAAAGGAGTGGGTGGAGTGGCGGGGCGGAGCTGTAGCGGAACGGGGTGGCGGCATCATATAGGAAGTAACTCTAACAGAATATAAGTAACCTTGACGATATTAGAAGTAACTATACAACAAGGGAAAATAACTCTAATAAAATAATTACAGTAGTAAATACACTACTAGAGGGAAGTAATTTCACGGTATTACGAGTAATTCTGAAGTAATAGAAATACCTTTTCATGGTACTCTAAATGTAACTCTCTGGAAAAAAAAATAGAATTAACCATCTAGAAATACCGATACTGCTTTTTTAAGAATAAACATTAGAAGTAATTATGATTTGTGTAAGTTACTTTTAGAATCTATTAAATTTACTTTCACAAATATCTAAGAAGTAAATTAGTCAAATTTAATATAACTACTATTGGGAGTGCTGCGCGCTCCTATATTCCAAGCGCCAAACGTGTATCAGCCAGGCCCACCTCACCCCACTTTCCATCATCCCGCTCCCACCATTATCAGAGTAAACGATTTACTTTGATAAAAACAACTTCTCTGGTTACGATCCCACTCCACGTCCCGTCATTCCACTCCTACCGTTATCGGAGTAAACGATTTACTTTGATAATAAAAACAACTTCCCTTTCGATCCCACCCCACATCCCGCATCGTGCTCCCACCATTATCAGAGTAACTTCTCTACTTCTGGTATATATTCTATTTTTCCCGTACCCAACCAACCACTCTCACCCCCACTTCATTTTTTCCTTTTTTTTGGGATATGAATCGATCCACCATTCCAGCCCACAGATCGGCAACGCACCATGGAGGAGGAGGACGACGACACCGTGGCGGTGGCCGGCGAGCGGTGGCCGGCGACGCTTGAGGCGAAGGCACTGCTTCAGGCCTCGCTGCCACAACATCCGTTTCAGATCGATGCTGAAGAGACGTCTGGCCCATGGCGAATGAGGTGAACGTCGTGGGGACGGTGAGTTCTCTCAGCAATTCCTAATGAGATTCTTGATTTCTTGCAAGAATTGTATACAATCTATGATTAATTAAATTCTTTATCATTCTTGATTCTATGCAGTCTGACTTCGATTGGGTTGAGCACTCATCTTGGCGTGCTTCTCTATTCTCCTTTGCATGACGGAGATCCTGTTTGTGATGGTCAATTGATTTGGTAACATCGGCAAGAAACTGTGATTTGTTTCATCACCTCTGTCGTTACCCATTTTATGACAGTGAGGCGGTGACAACAGCAACGACGACCTCCATCTTTGGCTCTGTCGCCGGATCCGGCTCCTACCGAGATCGCAGCGGCCAGACTTGGTGCTGCCTCGGCTCCAGCCTGCATCTCCGCCGCTTTGTCTTCTTGCTCTCTCTAGCAGACAGAAACTCCATTCAGCCGTCACGAGGAACTGGCGATGGCGTGTATTGCTGTGTTTGTGTGTAAAATTTTTATTCTTGTGCTTTTACTATGATGTGCATGTAAAATCTTTATTTTTTGTCCCGTGATTTAGGATGGAGTGATTCAATGTATAAGTAAAAAATTTATTCACATATTATTTGGGGGTAAACTAATTAGGCCCCAGTAACTCCCTCCTTATTTATTTTTCCTTTTTTTCTTGCTTGATGCACTCATTATAAGAAATCATCAATCAAGGCTGGCAATAATGCAATTACTACAAGTTAATGCATCATCAATTTTCATTTACATCGACAATAATACGAATACTACAAGTTTTGATCAACCAATATTATTCATAATCCAACTACTACAAGCACCATCAATTTTCATTTATGTCGACAGTAACTTGATTACCACAAGATTTCACCAAGCATGGTTGTTGTTAATCCAATTACTACAGGCACATGCACCATCAATTTTCATTTACATCGATAGTAATTCGATTGCTACAAGATTTGGTCTCAGTTTGTTGCACATCATATCGTAACTACCTCGATTGGAAACAGAGATAAACCAATTACAACGATTATTTTCAACCGACCACCGATTTTACGGATCTATAATTGATTTACCCCGAATTCAAATAGAACTAATCTACACAGATCGAACGTGGGCAACCGAACACCAGTTTTTGCGGACTCTGGGCGTGATGTGCGGTGCTAGGAACAATATTCCGCGCTCTAGCGCTCGGAATAGCGCTACCACAAATTTTAAAGTAATTTACATGTATGGTAAAAGTAGTTTTCATATATAAAGTTGACGGAGCGTGGGGCTCCTCACCGGGAGACCGCGCGGGCCCCCCTTTGCCAGTTCGGCCGGGGGCGCTAGGTGAGGTTCTAAGCCCTCGATCTGTGGAATGTTTCGCGAGAGAGCAAATGCGCAAGACACGGGCGATGTAGACAGGTTCGGGCCGCTGAGAAGCGTAATACCCTACTCCTGTGTTCTGGTGGATCTGTGTATGAAGGAGTTACAAAGAGCTGGAGAGCAAGAGAGTTTAAACTCTAGAGACCCTCTTCCTCTTTCTGTCCTCTACGAGCCCCGGTGTTCTCCCAGTCGTCCCCCTCTTAAGTGGACAAGGTCCTCCTTTTATATCTCAAGGGGATACCACATGCACCACTTCTACCTACTCTTCTTCTGGGTGGGGACTCACCCTATCTTCCAAAAAAAAAAGACTGGCTTGCGCCTTCGCCTGGAAGCTAAATCACATCTTGTCTTTGAGTGAGGCCCAGCGTCATCACTCGCCTGACACCGGGGATCTCCCTGTTACTCCCTCATTAATGGGCGGAGATTTGCCATGGCTGCTGTCCGAATGACCCTCCGATGGGATGGGCCATACCTACCTCCACTCCGCCGGAAGCAGGCGCAACGTGGGAGCACGGTTGTCTGCCGATGACGTGACCGGCGTCAGACCCGTCACAAACCGGTCATTCTTGTCTACCACGCGTCAGTTTAGCATGCCACACGTCAGTCCTTCTTCATAAAATGACTTCCTTGTAATGGTTGCGATGAAGCCTGGTATGAATCTAGCCGGGACTGACGTGCTAACTCCAGGAGTTAGCACGCCGGCTCCGGCTAGGGACGAGTGCCTAGAGGCTCTCATCATTCCGACGGGACGGGGCGAGGCGTGCGAAAGGCCGCCTGTTGCCACCTAACCCGCGATCTGACCGGTCTGTGACCGGTCACACACTGTGACCTGTCACGGACCGAACGAGTGTGCTGCGCTGCATTAAATGCGGCGTGGGGCGCTCGTCCAACCCGCAATAAACGCGGTTAGGTGAGCGCCGCTGTGCTC